AATAATAATAATGTGAAAATGTTAAAAATAATTAAAAGAATCATTTTTTTGTGAACATGTGTGTGGGCACTCTAAGTGCATACAGGATAACTTATCGTATTATGTTTGTTATAACTGTAATTCGGATAATGATTCGGATTAGATAAATTGTTATTTAGTACAAAGTTATACATTTTTTATTTTATAATAAATATGTTTGTGTTTAAAATACATTTTTATAAAAGTTTTGTTATTATGTAGCCAAAGGTGTACCTTAAAATATACATTAATCTTCATTTTAATAATGTTAGTTAAATTACCCCATACCATCAGTCAGTCATCTTACCCCGGTCCCGGGGCTAGTTAAATCAGATGGAATGCATTAGAAAAATGCATTTTTTTTCATAGTAATTATCAGTTTTCCCTTATTATTAAAATATTATTAGATAGTCAAATGTATGTAGTAACTGGCGTAGAATTCATTTTTTCGATAAGTCTCTTAATTTCGTCTGCAAAAATTCGAAACTGAAAAATGAGTCTAATATTCCCGGTCTCCTCTATATGTAGAACCGAAAGAGTTACCATTACACTAGAGCGCCACCATCGACCGGGAGCGCTAGAGCATGGATAGAGCGCCGTGAAGAAGAGAGGGGTATGCGTGCGAGATCATTTCGACATTATTCTACTTTTGTGCTTTGCACGTAATACAGAGAAGAAAAAATGAAGAAGTTCAAATTCTGTACTTCATTAATCTATTGTATGATAATTAGCATATTGTATGATAATTAACCTATTGTATGATAATTAGATCATAAATAATTGATAATAAATTTTTAGGAAGTAATGAGCGTTATCTAACTTTAAAATTTGACCTAATTTACATTATCTAATAACTATTTCTAAAATCAGACCGGTTTAATCTTTACACATGATGGTATGAATTCACAAGATACAAGTTGGAGCAATTACTGTAAAGTGAGTATGTAATTAATCGTATCACATCTTAAATTTTAATGAAAATATACTCATTTGTCATCATTTTTTCGTAAATACAAAATGTTTAAAATATAAAAAATTCGTCGATATACTATATTAATTTATAGAAATAAATCTGAATACGTATTAATTTTTATTTCCCTTCGTTTCGTTTATTTCCATTATATCTTAATTGACTTTAATTCAATACATATCAAAAAGTATAGTACAATATGTACCTAGTTTATTTTTATTTTTTCGATATGTTGGTGTTCCATTCCGAAATTGCAAGATTCTAGTTTACTGCAAAAAATTACTTTGAATCAGAATATGTGTTTCTTATACATTTTAAGTGCTAAAAACGATGTCGCAAGATAAAAAATTTCAACACATCACATTTTCAAGATAATTGAGGTTTTTTTTGTCTAAACAATGACTTTTCTGATAATATTTAACATTTTTTTGTAAAGAAGGTTAATGTTACCTTGAAATTCCGATTAAACGCCACGAATATATCGTTCATCCCCTATAAAATGCATTTTTTTATTTGCGGCATCGTTTTCGATATCTATAAGAAATACGTTGTCTTATTCAAAATAATTAAAAAAACATTTTGTAAACAAGGAAATAACAAGGGCAATAGGAGTCAAGCGCGGAAGACGTTGCGCAAATAACACGCTACTAGCGCTTTAAAATAAAGAAGTTTTACGCTACGTAGTCGTGTTATTTGTACAATGTCTCCCGCGCTTGACTCCTATTGCCTTTGTTCTTTTCTTGTTTTCTGATTTATAAGGAGTCTTAGTCAGGTTGATTTATTATACGTTAACATTTTGTAAACTAGTGTTATTAAAGTGCATCCAAATTTTTTCTAAATTCGTACTGTTTTTAAATATTTACTAATGTCATAAATCTATATTTAATATGTGCGCGTATCTGTGTGCAAAATTGTTGTTTTAAATTATGTGTTATAAAACTGTGTTTAAAATTATCAAAATAACCATTCTTTTTTTATCAATATTAATATTAGCTTTGTTCGCGTCGCATACTCCAACACGTTCCAATATGCTCCTACCACAGCTCTTACTTACTCCAACGCGCTTGATAGAGTGGTAGAAGCATGTTGGAGCATGTTAGACGCGAACAAACCTATTTGTCACGAGTGCTAAATTGCACAAGTGACAATTGCGCCACGAACGTGCCGAAAAGAATAAACAATTAATTAAACGAATGCCGAAACCTTAATTCAAATGATTGCCGAATTGATTAAATATGATTTTAAAGGATGATATTGAATATAAGCGCGACCGCGGATGCGGTCATCGGTCAGACTTTGAAATGAAAGACGTCGTGTTACTCTGTCCGTCGACTCAATTATAAAGTACATACCGCGACGCGAAAATAGTTAAGTGGAAATGTGACTCGAAATAAAAACTTCTTGTAATTGTGAAAATAAAGTGAATGTTAATATTTCTAAAAAAAGCTACAAAAGTGCAACGATCATTTGCTTCAAGTCCTTGTGGACCCTCGAACCGTGCCGTACACGGAGAGAATTTTCTTTTAAAATTTAGCCTGAAAATATGGTAGTTGTACAATATGGTTGTGGTACAATACAATATTTTAAAGATTTTTACCATGCGCTTCAGTAAAATTAATCAAACTTATTTTATACCTTATTGTAATTTGATCAATGAATAAGAGAGATTTACATCAAAATTCTTCGAAATACAATGTTGTTCCATGACTATCATATTTTCAGGGTAAACTCTAAGAAAAAATTCTCTCCGTAGTAGTAGCAGCGGCATAACAATATTTAAGCTAGTAAATATTGAGCACAGCAAAAAAATAAGTTTTTTATGTATCCATATTAACATACAAATTTTACGTGACAAAGCATGTATTTTTACGACTACGTGTTTATTATCATTTTTTTTTGTATCATAGATCTAATTATCCAGATTTTACAGTAAAATTTACAAATAATGTTTCAGATATATTCTGTTGTGTATTTTCATTGCTTGTCGGAGAGTTGATACAAATCATTTTCTAAATTGTTAACGAAATTGTGTTCAAATATATAGACATGATGACTATAAACGTTGTCAAATGTTTCAACGGATCGTGGAAAAGCATTCCTCGAAACAAGTATGTTACCAATTACATATTATTGTAATTATGTAATTATTTAATCGTAATATCAATAATATCAATTTTATAGATTTTATCTGTACGCTGTAAGTAGATGGTAATGCATGACTAGAAAATTAATTTTATTTTTATGTAATATAGTCACATAAAAGCATTTTATCAGTTGAAAAGAAAGTTTGATCACTTATTGCAGATTGTCAAGAAATATCATATACAATAACAGAACTGCCAGATCAATATCATCGATAGATTCTAAGAAAATTGAACATTTCTCAATTATGAAAAACTTGTGGTGGAACAAGAACGGCCCAGTAACTGCCCTTCATTCATTCAATCCATTCAGAATACAGTTTGTGAAAGATGGATTGATAAACGCTGGAATCAAAATACAGAATTCAAATCTTCCTTTAAAAGGAATCAAGATTGTGGATGTTGGCTGCGGTGGAGGTATAATGACCGAGGGTTTAGCTAGAGTAGGAGCTCAAGTAACTGGAATAGACGTATCAGCAGAATTAATAAGTGTTGCTAAAGAGCATTTAAAATTAGATTCCAACCTATCAGAAAGAGTGAATTACATTCACACAACCTTGGAAGATTTTGCTCATAAGGAGAGCGAAAACAGCATATATGATGCTGTTGTATCTTCTGAAGTTTTGGAGCATGTATCAGACCCACAACTATTTTTAAAAGTACAATATTGTAATAAAAAGTATAAAAATTATTAAATATATTGTAAATACTACATAAAAATCAAATATTTTCCAAATATTGATTACAGGAATGTGTGAAAATTATGAAACCTGGCAAATCGATTTTTATAACTACAATAAACAGAACTCTAACATCTTGGCTATCTACTATTCTGAGTAGCGAATACATTATGAGATGTGTACCTTGCGGTACTTTGAAATGGAATAAATTTATTACTCCTCATGAAGTTCAACATATATTAAAGAACTGTAAGTTTTATTCTTATTAATTCCAAGAAAAAAATATTTAAAGAAAACATTTTATTATATAAAAATCATATTTGTATAAAATTATATATAACACGTTCGCAATTATATTCATCTAAGTGTTTCTTAATCTTCTCCTTTTGTAGATGATTGCGAAACGAGATCGATTAATGGTATGAAATTTAATCCAGTAACAAGACAATGGTCTCGATCGTCTAGTGTATCTACTTTATACATGCTTCATGCAATCAAACAAAAATAAAGTTAGCGTGTAGATATTTTTCAGAGAGTGTCATTCTTTACTATAAAATAGAATAACGGTTTTTTTTATTGTTTATCAGTTATGTACTGTAATCATATTACTGACTAAACTCTTAGATGTACTATATGTATATTAACATATTGTGTATATACAGGGTATCTCATTTTAATATCCCACCCCAAATAACTTTTTTACTTTTGATCTTAGAAAAAAATGTTTCAGACAAAAGTTGTATGGTTTTGAGGGGGACATATAGTAAGATAGTGTCATTAGTTTGACCTTGAATAGTTGCTTGAAGGTCACATGAGAAGATTACGTTCAATTTCTTAAACGGAAGCCCCTACTTTTTATTACACATTCTTGTAGATCATCTCGAAAGCTTTCCAGAACACTATAATTAAGTACTTTTTCGTTAAATATTTGTTAAGTTATAAGACAAGATCGGAACATGATCCGGCGGGTCAAGGCAAGATAAAGACCGGATCGTGCCTTTACTTTTGTCTGAAACATTTTTTCCTAAGATCAAAAATAAAAAAGTTATTTGGGGTGGGATATTAAAATGAGATACCCTGTATACATTATATATATATATATACATATATATAATAAATATATTTTGAGGTGATATATTTAAACAACATTGGAAGATTGAAGTAAAATCAACATTTAGTGTTTGAATAGTTTAAGTATTCTATTTCAAACTTACAATTAGTTATATTCAATATGTATTTTGCAACAGTACAATATGATATTTAAAAAACCGTTATCCCAATCCTTATATAAATTTTAATAAGATTATTGGATTTTAATAGTAGGTTGTGTTTTCATATAATATTTTCCATAATTCATATCATAGATTCAAATTCCCCGTTTTAGAAGACACTAGTCGTTAAACGTTTTGGTTCAACTACGCCGTGTTAACATGTTAGCACGTACTTAATCTAAAAATGTTCAGACCGATAACAAAATAGTGGAAATAAGATTATAAACATTATAGTAACTCGTGGATCGTGGAGTGCAAACTAGAGTTCTCTGTGTAGTAAATATTTATTCATGCAGCCCAGGCCTGTTAATCGCCACGCATCTAACAATAAGTGACGCTTATCAACATTTTATAGTTCCTAAAATCTTACATTGATTTTTTTTACATCGATGGCTTTGCGTTTTGGCTCTAGAGCTGAAATCGAACAGGCCTGATGTAGCCTATCTTAATCGATGTTTTTCGGCGCGTCCGACTTTCTTTATCTATAAGATTAGCGTCTCTATAACTTTGAAAACCGATTACTGTAAATAAAACGCAATCCGCCGGCTCGCAAGAAGGAACGTCTCACGCTATATCTTAGCGCCGAGACACCATCGTGTCTCCAGATAAAAATTGTTGAAGTTTTCGCAAGTGTTATTAACTTCTGTAAGTAATAATACATTTCTCTCACTTATTATGAAAATATTTTTACATACATATTTTTGGTAATATAAGAGAATGTATTAAACTTTTCATTAATAAAAAATACTTTGTTGTAAATACTATTGTTGTAAAAAATAAAAAATAAACGTACAGATATAAATAGAATACAAAATAAAAATAACGTTTAAAACACAATATTATATTTTATTCTTAAAGTTAAAAGTCTCTATTTTCTGAAACCCCCCCTTATTTAAAATATTTTTTAACAATTTGCAAAAAAACATGCAGTGTTTTAAATAAAAAATGATCTTTTTCGAAATTTTTGTCTATTCTATTGTGTAATTTTTTTTATCAATAAATATATACATTTGCTTGTTACTGTTATATTTCTTAATGACTGACATTTCGATTTAAAAAAATGGTTATAGTACGTTATTTTTATAAAAATTATAAACAAAGTTTATTGAGTATACTTATATGAATACAGCGTCTTCAAAAAGTCCGGAGACGCTAAAATATCTCGAAAACGATCGATTATAGCAAAATATATGTAAAAAGCAGTTATAGAGCTAAATAAGATGTAATGGTGATAAGAGTTCTACTTTGGGTGGAGTTCACAAGATAAATGAAGGCCAATCTGAATTTATTATGAAAACATCGGCGGCCTAGTTGCTTATCGCGCGCGCGACGTTGTGTCACTATATCAGAGCGTGTCTCTATATCAGAAATATACTGAGAGCACACCTTCCGTCAAATCATTATTGAAATATATTTTTTATTAAAAAATTTATTTCTATTAACATAAAATTTTCTATTGTTAATGTATTCATTGTCCTTTAATGATATACTTATATTTTAACATATATATTTAACATTAATGTAATGTATCAGAAAACTACGCGCGATAGCTGCCGAGCCTCGAACGGTAGTATGGAATGGGGAGTCCGCAGGAATTGGCTTGAAATGTGCAGATTCTTGCGAGCACTGGAATACGTGTTTTTTTACAATTTTTCCTAAATTTTATCTACGCATTTTATGATTGATATATCATTATTTTTTTAAGTGATATTATCTGGATTTTGTGATAAGATTAAAATTTGATATATTCTTTGCATGGTTTTTTATTATTTGTCAAAGAGTAGTTGATGCAATTTGCCTTTTAAGTCGCAGATACAAAGAAGTGTTTCAATACAAACATGATGGCTGTCAAGTTTACTAACGGATCGTGGAGAAGCATTTTTCAAAACAGGTATAGTGCTAAATAAATGTATTAAATCCTGAAATTATGTAATATACTTAACCTATCTCTTGTAAATATCCAATCGAATCCTAAATTACTTAGATATCTATAGTTTCTTAACTTTAAAACACATGGCTAGAGTATTAAAATCGTATATCCTATTTAATATATTATATAATAGTATTTGTTTAATTAAATAAAAATAGACTATTTATTATAGATTATTAAGAAACATCGTATGTATCAATACAATCGCCAGATCAATATCCACGGTGGACCAAGAGGAAATCGAACGTATGAGTGCTTGGAGAAACTTTTGGTGGAATGAGAACGGTCCAATAAAAGTCCTTCATGCATACAATCCAATTAGAATACAGTTTTTGAAAGATGGATTGATAAACGCTGGATTCAAAATACAAAACCCAGACTTTCCATTAGAAAACATAAAAATTGTGGATGTTGGCTGTGGTGGAGGTATATTGGCCGAGAGTTTAGCTAAAATAGGAGTGCGAGTAACTGGAATAGACGCATCGGAACAATTAATAAAAATTGCTAAAGATCATGTAAAATTGAATCGCGATATATCAGAAAAAGTGAATTACATTCACACAACCGTAGAAGATTTTACTCGTAAGAAAAGTGAAAACAGCACATATGATGCTGTTGTATCTTCTGAAGTTTTGGAGCATGTATCAGACCCACAACTATTTATAAAGGTATAATTATAATAAAAGATTTTTTAAATATAAATACTACAAAAAAATCAAATGTTTCCCAAATATTGTGTATAGGAATGTGTGAAGATTGTGAAACCTGGAAAGTCGATTTTTCTGACGACGATAAACAGAACTTTAACATCTTGGTTGTCTACTATTGTAGCATGCGAATACATTTTCGGAGCTATACCTCGTGGTACTCATACATGGAATAAATTTATTACTCCACATGAAGTTCAATGTATATTGAAGAATTGTTAGTATGATTCTTGTTAATTCTAAGAAGAAAATATTAAAAAATTTGTTGCATAAAAATCATATCTATAATATATACTTATATATCTGATAAGTCCATATCAATTATAAATATTTCTTAATCCTTTCATTTTTTCTACAGATGGTTGTGAAACAAGATCGATTCGTGGCATGAAAATTAATCCAATGACAAAAAAATGCTCTTGGTCATCAACTCAATCTACTTTTTATTTACTACATGCAATCAAACAAAAAGAAACTGGCATATAAGTCTTCGAAAAACAATTTGCAAAACATTCATAAATGTAAAACATTATTTTAATATTAAACATAAAAAATATAAATTAAAATGTCTTTATACAAATTTTACAGCACATAAAATTACATTGTCGACACAAAAACACTTTCGTTCTTTTGATAATTTTATAACTGATTATTCCATAATATCTCATACATTTATATTATTTCTGTGCATTGATAAAACTTTTTTATTCACAAATAATACTTCTTGAATCTTTTATACAGTGTCCGGAAAATCGAAATCAATACTTCGGGAAGTAATTCGAGACCCAAAAAGCAGGAAAAAAAAACTATAAACATAGGTCCAGAAATAAGTCGTTTTCGAGTTATAATTTTTAATATAAAATTTATAATTTGGAAACGACTTATTTCCGGACCTATGTTTATATAGCTTTTTTTTCTTCTTTTTGGATCCCGAATCACTTTCCGAAGTATTGATCTCGATTTTCCGGACATCCTGTATATACACACATAAGATTATTTAAACTACCTGTTTTATGTTATTTGATGTATCCTGAACATAGAAATATATACAATAATAAATAGTCATTACTAACTGCACAGAAGTGGCTTAGGTATCTATGTTTCATTTTCCTTTCTTTTCCTTGAAAAAATACCGAAAAGGAAAAGATAACACGGAGCAGCACGTGTACAGAAACTTATGTAGATTACACCTCTATAGTAAATTACCTAAACTTTACAACGAATCATTAGCATTATTGCATATTCTGTTAACAACAACTTGACTATCAAGATAATTTTATATGAATATTAACGTTAGTGTTGTAAATACCTATACAGTTGATATTATATTGTTAGAAAAACATTGTTCAATGTATGCTTCGTAATGCAGAAGGTTTCGTAATCGTAGTTCACGTCATGTGTAAATAGAGGACAGACTATAAAGCGTATAATCTTTATTGTGTCTCTCATATTTATCTACATAAACATTTTTTAGTAATTTTATGGTCATAAACATGACTAGAATGACGTGATGCACTGCTGACATTGTCTTTCCACATTTGTATAGAAAAGTTATATTTTTGCATTTCATATCTCTAGTACAGATAGATCTAGTACAGAATTATTCTCTACATATGTTGTAAATTTATCAGAAGATTAAAAGTTTATTTTATTTTTTTTGTTTGGCAATAAGAAAAACTATCTTCGAAAAATAAGTTATTACTATTATGAAGAATTACACATTCATTATTTATACATGACAGTGTAAATTGATGTATCATGTATCTTCCTTTTTTTCATTTTCAAATACGTTATGAGTCAGATTTGAATGAGTTAAACCATAAAATATATTGCAACTCCCAAGAGAAGATAATTGAATTGCAATTTATCGTTTTTGAAATTCGTTCTTCACGGCCATAACTCCTACAAGATCTCCATTAAATATATATAATCGTTTATATATTTATTATAGAGTAGAGCGCACACAGGTATCGTCTCTCTATTTCCCGTACCCTGTTATCCGAACGCGCATTTACGATCCGTCTTCTACATTTCTTCTAGCAATAAAAGCATTCAGTATACTTGCCAGCACTTCGACGAAGTATACCTCTTGCAAAATGTTACGGTCTACTACAGTTCACCCGCGAGTAAATAGAAGCCGCGAAAGGTGTGCGATACCTATTTGTACAGGAGCTCAATGTTCTTTCTTTAGTATAGCGAGCTTGCTCGTTACATCTCAACGAACTGGCTTACTTTTTGCCCTAATTGAGATACTCGTCAGGGAAATTATTAAGCCTTGTGCTAAGCATTTGTCTAGCGGGAGTGAGTGCATCCTCTGGATGATAATAATGTTCCAATAACGTACCATTATATTCAGAACTCTAGCAGTGTTTCGTGCAGCTAAAATTAGTGCATACATTTTCAACTAATTAGATAATTTCTCAAGCAATTTCAACTAAGATGTTTGTTATTCAACCAATATATAATATACGTAAATAATATAATGTCGAAAACTAGTGCCAAAAATTAACTTGCGCATATATTTAAAATTACGTTCGCTTCATGTTTCTAAGCACTTTCAGCAGATTCCTAAGCACTTTTTAGCAAGCGCTATTTTGAAAAATACACGACTCATTGAGTATCAATCATATATATATTCGCCTTCAATTGCATACCATACATATCTCGCGCATCGCGCAGACTATCAATACTAGACTCGTCCACTGACGTAAGATTATTTCACTTATTTTATTACATACTGTATTTTTAATCTTAGTCACATAATGCATATAATCACGAAGCCTATTTACTCCGCGAGTGCGGGCGGGCAGATGGAAAGAGCATTCATCCCGTTTCGCATCGTTCCGGCTCTTGCCATCGTATTTTAACGATATCGTAATTTGGAGAACCGCAAACCCCCTGACGTCACCGGTGCATCGAAGCATCTTGCCGGCGCGTAATCCTCCCACCCTCCTTTCACCCCGTGGACCGATAATCTCGGTCAAAAGGATATTAGCGAGTAACGAATTATAGGAATTTCGGCAAATTAGATATTGAGCGAATTGAAGGATTGCGTTACTAATTCCACCGGGACGCCGATCGTTACGCCAAGATTTATTCAATCGCTGTCACGGGGCAGAACCTCGGAGAAGATTTTGCATCTTTGCAGGCACAACGTAAAATTTGTATCTGTACGTGAAAGCGCACAGGTTTTCAGCAAAAATTAAAATGTTCAATGGAATGCTTCTAATGCTTCGATGACGTTTAGCTCGTAAAACACGCGAAACCTTTTGTTTGAAGAAAAACGCTTTTCGTGTTTACGATAGGAGCATAAGGAATCATCATCCGTGTTTAAGTCGTCGTTACGAATAGTCGCGTCCTGCCCTTTCCTTGTCCGATCTCACGGCACGGGCGCGGCGCCGGCGATCCAGCCGTCGCGGCTACACACGTGGCCTTCTATTTTGCTCCATGCCAATCTTAATATTATCCTTCGAATTATGGCCCTAATGCTATCCACGATACGCGTTCCCACTACACGTACGAGCCATCGGCTTTAATGATCGAGCACGAAATTCGGAGCGGTCTCCTCCGCCGGACGTCGAACTGATATTAGGATACCATCTGGATTATTTCGCAACTTTTGGCAAACGGCGCGTGATTATTCGTCATTTTCATTATATTTACGCAACGAGCGTTTTATTTTTATTATTCCGGTACACTTATACGTGTTCCAAATAAATAACACCGATCTCTCAGCTTTCCGGCGAGAGAGTCACGCCAACGCAAACGTCTCCCGTTTCTTCCAACAGGCCAATGGCTCGTAATTATTCGCCTAAGTTCACGTAAGTTTCGCATTGAACATGCTACATGCGGATATTTCGCAACGTCACGGACGGGTGACTCCGCCATCCGTCGCGAACACGAGACATTGTCACGAGATCTCGCCATCGTAAATCTTCGGCGCTATATCGACGTGGTGGAGTGACGCGAATGATATTCGCCCGTCGGCTAGAATGCATTCATATATCGCGGCACGTATCGTGTCGCTCGTAGCCTGTCCTGGCAGGAAGCGGCTGGCTATACACGGCATAACTTGTAGCCGTGTCGTGATAGCGACACTTCATAAACATGGACTGGCGTCATGTCGCGGTGGTACCGACGCGAAGCACTTTACATCGTCGATCGTTATCCGTCCGCGCCGATGGACATCGACATTGGACGCCCGTTGCGTTTACGACCCGTTTGACGTAAATATACATACATAGACGTAGACCGAGAAACTATGACTCTTCATTGAAGAGAGTTTAGCGAAATTCTATTATTAACATATTTAAATGTTGCATATGTTTGTATATAAAATACTACTATTTGAATTAATAAAAGCAGAAAATCATTGGACATAATTGATTATTTATATTTCACGTAATTGATTATTTATAAAATAGTGTCACATTTTATCATAATTAAATACCATTTATAATATATAGGTTTATCGTATCATAATTAAAGAGTAAATTATACTCTTCAGTATTTAGGTGAGCAACGTAACGAGCAAGTTAAAAAACATGCGCAAACATTATTATGAATTCACTCATCAGTCTGATTAATCCTCAGTCTCATTAATGAAAAGAATATTGTAAATGATGTAAATCAATGGATGTAATAGTATAAAGATTTTGCAATTCATATAAGATTAGTCACAATTCAAAGTACAAATTTCATTTATTTAAGAAAAGCAAAAAACACAATCAACACAAAGAATCAATTGAAGTTCACATTCTCAGTTCCAACTAAATAATTTAAATGGACTTTATTGTAACTCTTTATATGATTTAATATTGATTTTTTAAAACTGATCTTATCAAAATTGCATCTTCTTGACTGTATGATAAAGCTAAATTATTATACAGCGCAAATATAATGGACAAATTCACTCACTAATTCCACCAATGTTGATACGATTCATACAAAACGATCATGCCAGGAGAATCCTACAAAACATACAAAGTAATTTAAAATAATGGTGGCGATAATCTTACGTTCACATGAAAATTGTTAAAATTCGATCTAATTCTGAATATCTATCGCGTATATTTTAATCAAGGTCGGGGGTAGTAACTAGTTAATAAATTAAAAGTTAAATAAAAATGACAAAGTTAATAGCTTTATAACTAAATTCAGTTAATTTTAAATGAATTAATTATTAACTTAACTCAATTACTTTTAAACTTTAATTTATTAACTTTTTCTTTTTAAATTAAAGTTTTTTTTATCTCTCTAAGAATGCCGATATTATTTTCCATAAAATTTTACACATTAGAGAATTAGTTTTAAAATCAATGAATAATTGATGTGACACACTCTTGTAGTGTTCAAAGATGAATGTGGGTTGGATCTGCATTAGGGAATGCTATCAATTCTATTGCGTCAAGTCTTGTTTTAGGTCAAGCGTTTTATCGTGAGCGATAAAGAAAGAATAAAAATATTTTATTTACATATAATTTTCAAAGAACCCGCAGGCATGAC